AAAATTCAATGAAGTATACATATAACACCTAAACAATCTAAAAACTTAACATGTTTAGCCGAATTAAAACATTTTGTCAAAATATCTGCTGGCATATTTGACGTTTCTAAATAAATAATTTTAATAATATTATTTGAAACAGCATCTCTGACAAAATGGTACCTTATATCTATATGCTTACTTCTTTTATGGAACATTGAATTTTCAGTCAATTTTTTCGCACTCTGATTGTCATTATATAAAATAATAGGTAAATTTACATGACCAATAAAATCCTATGATTAATCTTGAATCATAACTTCCGCTGAATTCTCAACTAATCTCTGAAATTCCACTTGCGTCATCAATGAAAAGAAGAAAAATATCTTGCTTGATCAATCGAGCAGGTTTCCATCGTCCTGCATAAATCCGAATGTATCAAATCTAGCAATTTATTACTTCTATGACCTTTCAAAGGAAAAGGTAGACGAGACTGTTTCCTCTCACAACATATTTCGCAGTTGGATTTTCGAACATCAGCCTTATCGTCATAAAATACATCCTGTACAGCACTATCTTTCATTTTTTGTAAGTCTTTACAATTACGAGTAATATGTCCCAACCTTCTATGCCATAGTTTAGTGTCAGCCGACTGAACTGCCGCAACTAATCCATTCTCTGACTTCACAATATTCAACTTATACACACAATTTATTAAATCTTATGAACCGCTGCCGCAATTTATCGAAATGCACTGGAAGATCTCTATATCTGCTGAGAGGCCATACTATTGACATAGACCAGCTTTACTCCCGTCCTTTAATAAGCGTTTCAATCAATTTGGCCATTTACGTATATCAAATGACTTGTCAAGGGGCAGGAAATATCATTTAGGAAGCTGCTCTTCTACAACGACAGTAAGATGGACAAAATGCAACGTATATTTGTGCATTTTAAGAAACCAAAACTGTTTTTTGATTACCACAAGTCAAAATGTTTGTGAATCGATATTACTTTAAATCTAGTTACGGAGAGAAAAATATTTTTGTTTAATTCTGTTATAAGATATTATTTGATAATTTTATGAAGACTCATTTTAGAAACGCCTTTCTCTTAAGTAACGTGACTTTATACATAAAAATTGATAAATATTTATTATTATATATAATTAAATAAAATAAAATTATAAAATTGATAAATAATTTAGATCTCAAAGTGTTGTGTTACAATAAATGAATACCCTTACTATTTTTTTTGTGAATATATCAAAAGAGATTTTTTATTTGCATCTTTCTTCCACATGCTTGATCGTGCACAAATGAAAACAGAAATATGAGCGACGGAGCTCCAGTGTAATTTAAGACGGGGTTTTTTATTATTTTTCCTAGTCATTTTACCCCCCAATAATCTTAAAATTGTTTAAAAAATTTTCAGAAATCAAGACATTTTTTGTCGTTCTGAAAGGGATATGAATAACAAAATTCTTCCCTTAAAAATTATTTAATTTCAACCTGATGAAAAGTTAATAAGCTAATTTAAACCGTGATGGGATTTTTATTTACTACTAGCATTTCCCGCGGCTTCGCCCGCGTACTGATGACCAAAAACCTAATTTTTAGGTTTTACAGATTAGTATGCTCTTACATTGCAGGTTTGAATTTTTCCTCAGAAATGAGAATTTTCCCGCGGTAAAGCGTATGCTATATGTTGACCTGGATAACCAGCTATCACCATACCAAATTTCATCAAAATCCCTGCAGTGGTTTTTCTGTGATGCGTTAACAAACAGACAGATAGAGAGACAAAATTCTAAAATCTATAGATTCGGCCTCTGTATCGATAATAATTTTTATTTCAATAAGATATTCCAAAAAATATTTAATGTACAGATTCGGCTTAGTTACAATTTTATTATATGTATAGATTAGAAACAAAAAAATGTATCTAGTAGTGGGACAAACGATTATAAATAGTAATTATTCACATATGTATATATATTTGTTTGAAAATGGACATGTTAGTATGAAAATATAGAAAAGGCTCTTCGAGCGTTAATATTTACTAGCGACTTATACTCGCTTCGCTCGGCTGAATTTGAAAAATTTTAATAACCCCCGACCATCTTGGACCGATTTTCATCAAACGATGTGTTTTGCCATGGGAATGAAATATTTTTCTGCTGTAAAAGGTATCATAAATGTACACACACAGATTTTCACAGTACAGTTTTTGTGTGAAACGCATGCAACGCAACTACTACACATATTATTAATAACTATACACAGTACGTCATACATAGTCACATTACGATCTCTTTTATTTTATTATTTAAATATTTCTGATTATGGAAATCCAACAAACAACCATAATATTTATTTAAAATGTATGTTTCGGATATTTAGTTTGACGTAATTAATAAAAATTTCACAGGATGGTAAAGAAATTCCTATCTAACCGATATTTATAAATACTTTTGAAAAAAAAAACTACAAACAAAATCTACTTTTTTACTTTCAGTTCCTAATTTTAAAAATAAAATAATTTTGATTACATTCAGAAAATTAAAACACGTTTGAATAATAAGAATAGCCTACTTATTGTTTGCTTTTAGTGCTAATTATGTCAAGTGTGAACATACGTGCAACAGTATTGAATATTTTAGACAGACTGACGTGGGAACTGGGGAAAAAATGAAACTGCATAAGATAGACAGTGACGAACGTATAGGTACACCGCGCAATCGCAAATGCACCGAATGTAAGAGTCGGAAGATATGCAGCCTGAAAACAATGATTGTGCTAGTACAGGATGGAAAATGCAGTTACTTGATTTTACTCCTACCTGTTAATGTTCTCCTAGTAATCAGAATGCAAAACATATATATTGCGCTGAATATATATCGGCAACGTTGCATTCTTTGCATCGCGTTGGAAATAAAGGAACATTTCAGTTGCTGCAAGTTGCAACGTTACGTTACACAACTTTATAAATTAGGAGTTTTGTATATACATTAGGTGTGTTTTAGTGCAAATTTGCATTTACAAAGAAATTTGCAAAAATATTGTATTTATTTAATACTAGCATTGCCGGCGGCTCCGCCCGCGTTCTGAGGACCAAAAAAAATTCTTAGGTTTTACATATTATAGTATACTCTTACATCGCAGTGTTTGTATTTCTTCTCAGAAATGAGACATTTTCCCATATCGGATAACCGGCTATCACCATACCAAATTTCATCAAAATCCCTCCAGTGGTTTTTCTGTGATGCGGTAACAGACAGACAGACAGACAAAAATTCAAAAAACGATAGATTCTGCCCCTGTATCGATAATAATGATCGATAAAAATAATTAAAGTACAATTCAGCTTAGTTATAATTTTATTATATGTATAGTATAATAAATATCACTTTAATCTCTACGAGTAGGTTAACAAAATAAAAAACATTAAACAATCTCATGAACTTTTCTTTGTGAATCAGATAGGCAAATTTTACACTTTTGTTCTAACATTAATTTATATAATATTTTGTTTAAGAAAAACCTTTGTTTGAATAACGTAGAGTTCCATTGGTTATTTTTATGTACTAGTAATAAGAAAATTAAATAAATTTAAATTCCTTACACCATATAAATAAAAAACTTTAAATTACTCGCATATTATGCCCAAAGGACAAGTAGCAAATAACTATATTTTTTTTAATTTAGTTATTGGGCTCTGAGAAAAGATTTTGAGTTTCTCATTCATGACAACTCTCATAAAACTAGTAATTAAAATTTAACTAATGAATAAAATTTTGATACAAAAAGAAAAATCTTTACATTTACCAACAATATGAAATGGGCTAGCTAATAAGGATCTATAAAGTAGCGAGTTATTGTAAAACAAACTGCAAAAATATGTCCTAGAGTTCAAATTATATTTTAAATGTAATGTTGAATTTTATATACCTCCAACGGTCTATGCACTACTAGTAAATAGTGCGCGTATTTTAGACATTGATCGAATATTACTTTAAAGAGCGCTTGCGTAGAATTCCAGACTTCAAAAGCAGGAAAGCACTAATATTTTAGCTCCTCCCCAATTTCCTATCCTTTCCCACATATTGATGAACTACATCTGTACTGAACTGCATCGCTACATTCTAGATTTTATGCTTTCCTAGTATTTTATTCACGTGACGTTGCATTCTGTTTAATATATTATCTATATATATATATATATATATATATATATATATATATATATATAGATATTCCCGACGTTTCGAATGCTTTACAGCATCCATGGTCACGGGAGAGACTCAGTCACACACAGAACCAAAAATCAAAATAAATCCGCGAAATAATCCGAAAAGATAGTTTTATTTAATAATGTCAAACATTCGCGTAAATCTAAGAAAGTATTATAAGAAAGTATTAGTATTTTTCAGTTTAGGCTGAATAATACCTAAGTGTTCTTTTCGTTTTGTATTAAATCAATATAATGATATTGAAATGTCATTTTAACGCTCTTTCACTTAAAGTGTAAACAAAGTGAAGAACACAGGTTCAAGTGATTTCAAGAAACAAATGTGTGCCAGTCTCAACTTTATATACAAATGTTTAATAATATTTTATAGAAGTTTATGTCAAATTATATAACCTTAACTGAGCAATCCTTGCATACCTACAAATTTATTTTTGTATATCAAATTTTGTATTCGTATAAGGTTTTGCTTTTTAAGTTTATCTACATAGATATCATTTCTGAAAAAACTCTTTTTTTATCTTTTTTCGTCAAACGCCGAGTGAAGCTCGGTATAAATGTTGAAATTATTTTTGAATAAACTTTGACAGTGCGTTCTGCATTTTTGTTGCTATTTGAATAGCAACTTTTTAATAAATATGGCTTTTAAAATTAAGACTTATATTGATAACAAAAAAGCATTTTTATTAAAAAAAACTGAAAACCTATTCTAAATTGCACATCATGTCCCATTAAAGAATTAGTATTGACTAAGGACTCTAAGGTTATGATTAAAACAAGTTTGCAGTTTCGGACGGAGTCGTGGTCAACTGGGCGGCGTAGTAAACTGTATCGCCATCGTGCACTGGCTGAACGTTAGATAAAGTCAAGAAATCCATTGGAATTTCGCTTTGTTGCTGAACGGCTTGAGAATATTGTTCCATTAAAAAAGCATTCGCACCCCCAATATGAGAGCGCATATGAAAATTTAAGTGACTACTCTGTTTGAATCTCCTCTTGCAAATCGGACATCCAAATGGTTGTATGTTAGTATGAGTACGCATGTGCTGTCTAAGATGAACGGATTGCGAGAAGCATTTGTAACAAATTATGCATTTAAACGGCTTAACTTTTGTATGGGTGCGCAAATGCTGATCCAACCCGGCCTTCTGGGTAAATGCTTTATTGCAAAATTTACAAACGAACGGACGAATGCCGGAATGCATGCGCATATGCTGTTGCAAACCACCGAGCTGTGTAAAGCGTTTCGCGCAAATATTACATTGGTGGGGTTTGGTTTTTGCGTGCACGATACGATTGTGCTCGTCAAATTGGAAGCTGTCTAGAAAAGTGTACCCACAAATTCGGCATGTAAATGAATTATTATAGTCTAATTGTGTTCTTATTGTCGGATATAAGTTTCTATCTAATCGTTTCTCGCACACTTGACACCTTAATGCAGCCTTGCGCCTCTTCGTGTGCTCTTCGCGATAGTGCAAAGAATATTCACAACAGTTAAAGAAGATTTGCCTGCATTGCACACTAGTACATGTAAATGGACCCCTAAAAAGTAAATATCATAATTATTTTTTTACTTTAAGAATAAAATAACCTTTATTCAAACTCAAAATACGATTATGACCACTTCATTCAAAACAACTTTATCCAAGAACTATAGAATCGTCCATTCTTATATTTCAACTATAGGTATATTTTTACTAAAATGTAATTTGTAAGGAAGCTACACCGGATTTGATAAGAGACGGTGGGAACCTCGACGTTATTTATTATCTTGTTATTGAGAAACCAAAATTACCTTAAATCAACTGGCGTTTTATCAGGTTTCGATTGAATTTTCTTTATCATATTATCGAGACGTGATCGTTTCACCCGAACACTTTCACTATTCTCATATTTTATTATCAAGTAGCTAGTATCAACGCTATATGTCCTTTTTATAATACCGTCTTGTTCTATAGTTGGATCTTCGTCTTGTTTTTTCAATGGTATAAATTTAAAATCACAGAGACCATCAAAAATCTGTGCAAAGACGCGTTATAAATGAAATCAAAAAACAAAATCTTTATTATTAATTTTTTATCTAAGTAGGTATAGAAACTATATTACGATACGTCATGATATAAAAAAAACTACAAAATTTATAAATACGCCAATTTAAGAGAAAAATATTAAAAAAGAATAATTTGAGAAATATTCAAGCACCTGGTCACAAGTATAAGAAATTTCAACAGTCTGATCGTCATCAGAGCCGGAGTCATTAGAATCGTGCTGGGTAGCTTTGTGATTTCGCAACGCATTTGAGTTGTAAAATGTCTTTTGACAAATATAACAAATAAACTCGGTTGAATCTTCAATGTCACCTGTAGTGGTCTGGAAATAACCAATAAATGTCTATAAACTATTTTTGTTAAACCTCTATAAACCCGTATTTTTATCACGTTATGTTATTTTTTAGATGATTATACAATATTCTGTACAGGAATCAAATGTAGCTACTTCCTTAATATAACATACTAAGGAAATAACTTAAATTATTTATATTAAAAATAATACGGTTTTCATTAGGTCCCCGAAAATGATAATTGTCAAATATTCAAGAGAAATTTAAAATACCTGCTGTATTATTCAAGGTTTACCTTTGATAACATCAAAGAAAAATCAATAGACAAAATTTCTTTAGGATTTGAAGACGCTAAAGACGCTATAGATTCCATTTTGCCTAATTTTAGGCAAATTATTTAAAAGTTAAAACGATGAAAATTGCAAAGAATAATAATTTATTTGGTCTATGTACTTCATAAATTAATTATGACATAAAAGTCAAAGTTCACAGATACAAAATATCTATCATGGTTTTTCAACAACATTTACCATTACAAGCTTTTCTTAACACAAAAGAAAAAACCATAACTCTTATAGAAGCTTGAAATGGGCTAGAGGCCAGAATAATTAAACTTACTTGTGTTTATTTGTTTTATTCGTCTTATCTACGTTCTTATAAAAATGTGTATACTTAAATATTATAAATGTGAAAGTTTGTGAGTATAGATATTTGTTACTCTTTCACGCCAGAACGGCTGAACGGATCTGAATGAAATTTGGCACAGATCCCCGCGGGATAGGTTCGTTTTTGTTTAAGCGAGGGTGAGTCACTTGTATATTGTAAAAATAAAAACAAGAAAAAATATGAAAACAAGTTGACGAAGGAATATAGTATTATGCAGTCGGAAACATACGTTTCATCCTTGACGCGAGATGTACCTCCATGTGTATGTATGTTGGTTATTTTCATCTTTTTAGTTAGCTTTTATGTTGACGGGGTTTATTTTAATATCCCACTCGAGAGGTTTGGAAACAAAAAAAATTAAAGACACAAATTGGCGCATGAAATCCGCCATTTTATTTTTTAACTATTTTAATATAGCCTATGACACTCGTCATCTCTCGTCATTTGTTAATTACAAGGAAACTAAAATAATAGAGTCGGACATCATTCATCAGTCGGACACATATTACATAGGTACATATCATATTTTTATCACGGGTATATTGGGTACACCTATAAAATCTATATCCATACTAATATTATAAATGTGAAAGTGTGTTTGTTCGTTTGTGTGTCTTCCTTTCATGTCGAAACGGTGCGCCATCTAGCGGAACGCATATGTATTTGGCCAAAATCTCTCAATATTGTTAAAGTACATGAAAGTAGATGTCACTACTGACTATTCGCTGCTATTATAAAATAGTTTTATAGAAATTCAAAATAACGTTGGACTTCACGTGTAATGAATGTAACTGAACTGAACTGACCTGAAACAGTACGCAAAAATCAAACCATCGGATTATGTCCGCTGATAAAGAAATCTCCTCGCGAGTAAGCTTCATCGCATTGATCATATTAATTCATTAATATAATCAGTACAATACTCATTATACGCCATCTATTGAGTAGTGCTAAAATGATATCATTAGGTGATCACGTATACAAAAGACATAACAATAATAACTGTCATGTGCAATGTGCATGTGTCCTTTCATATAAAAAATAAAAATACTAATATTGGTCCAGCCGTTTCGAATATTAACCACAACAAACAGACAGACCGACAAGATAAAATAAATATTCCAGACTACAATCTAGATAGATTCTGATATAAGCCTCATCTAGATCTGTCCAGTCGTTCTGGCGTGACTGAGTAAAAATCATCCATCCATCCAAACTTTTGCATTCATATAGGAATTAAGGTCTATAATTATGGTCCTACTGAGTGAAAGAGACTTTTCCTAAAGACAATTTTTTTAATTCCAAAGACAAGAATTTTGATTTAATAATCATTATAACTTGACTTCTTCTTCTCTCATCTTATTTGTATAACTTGAAATCCTGATTTTTCACACCATTTTAGTGAATAAGACTATAAGTATTCATTTTTACCAACGTTATATAACGTATACATTTTTTTACAGAACAATTGAAAATGTCTTGCATCACTAATGCCTGGTTCAGACTAGAGAGAACAAACCTAATAATGAGAAATGTAACTGAAAATTCATTGACGTTTGGCACACATAAGTCGTCTTCTTTACGGAATTTACAGGGATTTTTTTGTGACTAAGTCATCAGGCAACACCTAGTTTCATGTGAACTTACTTATACGTTGTAATATCTCGGTATAAATTAAATAGAAGCGTTAGCTAAAATACCAATTTTCATAGCAAACGCTTTCGAAGTTACAGCGCAAGCGCCATCTCGTGGTAACTTACGACTATGACCGTAACCCGACGACTGAATGAATGTGGAAGAATTTTGCCATTTCTCCCGCCAGATGTCGCGAACACTATGATCCTAAGTATATTATAAAGTTCTATAGCGTAGATGGAAAAATGACGAAATGTGTAGTGTCAGGATGCAAAGAAAAAATGATATTATTTGTTTCCAAAAGACGTAAAACTAGAGAAATTGTGAGCTAAAGCTTAAAACGACCAAAATTGCCGAAATCACAATCTTTAGATTTATGGCTATTGTACTAACATAAAATCACTTTCTGTGAAAACAAACACAAAAAAAACTGCCATATGGGGCCATTTTTCCATTATAGCGGCGCGAGCTATAAAGATACGAGGTGGCAAAATTGAAATTCGGAAAGAGCACATCGACATCTATAAAATCACCAATTTCAATTTCAAAACTCCTGAAAAACTTTCCAGGTAAAACTAATATAAGCAAATGACTGGGCTAGTAATGAAGAATTAAATTTTAATAAAAAATATCTAAATTTTTGTAATAAATTAAAAAAATCATAGTTTATGAAATTAAATTTTATTTCGTTTTGTATACATTCAATATAACTTAATTATTTAATGTATTATCACGCAAAATTCTTAATGCCCACTAAAAATAGTTAATTTATTATAGTACATTCTATTTCTATATTATAAGCCATTTAATTTATCACTTTCCTGTTTTAAACTTAAAAACTAAAAAAAAGGGGTATGGGTATTGTTTCTTTCTATCGGCATATCACATTTTTGGCCGTTTAGCCTACTCTGTATAATATCTCTATGGTGATAATAGTTCTCTATGCTTAAATAATAATTTAAAATCAATAAAACGCAATTGTCTATGGGAATTGGGAGTAATTTTTCATGTTTGACAATTGACATTGACGCATGCGTAATATAAACAAAAGTTAATGCTAACTGCTAAATAGTAAAATCCATCGCAAAATTAAATATAAAATCAATTTTTCTTTTGAAAATAATATACCTAAAGTGGATTTAACTAGAATGAACTTTTTTATTGAATTCCTTAAACGTATTAAAGAAGTAATTGTTTTGTAGAAATATTTGCAATATAGTTACCTACCTGTGCGTTATAAATTGGAATTTAATATGCTTTAATTTTATTGACAGTTAAAAAATGTTTCTGCGTTTGTTAACCAAACAAAGACTTTTCGTTGGGTTTATTATTCTTGTAGCAATTGTTAGTGTATTATATTACAATTTAATCTTTAAGCAGCATTCAAATGGAACTGGTCAGTGGTCAGGAGACCGTTGCCTCACTGAATTAACATCTATTAAATATCAACTCAATGGTAACTAAATACTTTACATTTTACTGAATTATAAGTTTGTTTATTTTGAAATTTATTTCTTTTTATTAAGTTAACTTTACTTCTTACTATTAATTATATTTTTTTGCAGTGGTTACAGAATATAAAAATAGAATTGACAAACTTCTAACAGAAACTGAAAAGCAACATAAATTAGATAAGGAAAGGTTTAAAGAGATTATGGAGAGCTGCTTTGCTATGAAGCAACAGTCTCTCTTATGCCAGGTAGAATTAAAATTTATTATTGACAGTGTTATGACGATATAATAACTAAACTTCTGTATAATTTTAATAATAAATCTGTTTTTTTGTAGAGCCAATTTGAAGACCTGCAAGTTCAATGTAAAAAAGTTAAAGGAGATTTTGATAAACTAAAAGGAGACATAGAAAAAAATAAACAAGACCATTAAATGTTAAAATGTGGTTGCTGTAGAATTGTCAAATTAATTAATGTAATTTATTTAAATACTCTTGTAATTAACTGTATAACTTATATTATGTTAAGGATATTATGAAATACATACCTATATGTTATAGAAAACTGTTAGCAAATTTTAAACATTGAATATATGTAATATAATAATATTTAACTTTCTACTCAATATGAAGTATAAATGAATTTACTTGGTCTTGCTTTTAGAACAAAACAGTATTAAGGTTTATAGTCATAAATTTTAAATTTATAATAAAAATTCAATGTTCCTGTGCTTAGCTCCTGTAATGTAACAAAAATTGTGTATTATATATATTGTCTATATAAGCAGTGGAACCTCGATAAATCCGATTTCAAGAGAAATGCTAAAAAATTTGAGTTAATGAGTTTTCGACATAACAAGATATACAAGATACAAAGGAAAATTCGACTTAAGTTTTATTGTAGGTAGGTAGGTGAGGTAAACTGTACAAAGAACTATAAAAAATTATGAGATAAGAACTGATTGATCGTTTCTTTAAAGCTTTTTAGCAATGAGCTCAAACATAAACAATACACCCAGATGTGTTTCTTAGAAAGTTTGAATTCACTAATTGCACATGTGTAAAAGATACGAACCATAGACTAGAAGCATCGAACATTCCTTTTGCATTTTATTGCAATGAGTTCCAGATATCCCAAGGAAGACTTCATAATATTTTACTAACTTGGAGTTATGAAGTGTGTTGTGAAATTCAAGTTATAGAGTATAAATATGTACTACTAATACCTCGCAGGGAAATAACATTTTGTTCAAGTTACAAATTCGTAATAATTCGAGATACCGCGTATTTAGGGTTATAGCAGAAGGGAATGTCAACTTTGAGGATTACGACTTAATGAGGTTCGAATTATCGAGGTTCCATTGTATTTGGTTCTCTGCAATTATGGAGTAGGTAAGTGAATAGTCAAATATATTTAGGATCAATTTGATGAGAAAAATATAATAAGTGCAGAAAATGAAATAGAGAGGAATCAGTTATTTTATGGTGAAATGTACACTGTACTTAAATATCACACTGCACAATCCAAAAGCAGAAGTAAACTAATAAAATATATTGAAGTGAGACAGATGGTTGTGAAACAAATGTTATAAACTTAAATGCATATTATGTAAAGGAGACTTAGAGAACATGTAACAAAAGAAAGTAAGAAGAAAATGATATATTTGCTATGGTAAACTGTATCAACAGTGTATAATCAACTTAAGGTATGGAAAGAAAGGATAAAATAAAAGGTGAAAATTGGAAACACCATCTCTACAAAAACCAAATTCTTCAAATAAATGAACCTAATATGAAAGGGGCTGTTAAATTCCAAGAATATAAAGTAAAGATTATGAATCTGGTGTGGAAATTTAAAATTAAAATAAACTTATAATATAGGATAGAAACATAGAATGGAACCTTTAGACTGTGTAATTGAGAGAAGTTATGGTTACAGAATAGGATAATTGAAGTATAAAAAATAAGTAATTACTGTTCAATAAGAATCATGTTTTAATGAATGAATAATATAATATACAATGAGAATACAAAAATATTTACATCTGAATATGAGAAAAGATTAAAATATGAAATAAAAGGCATTTAGCATTCAGCAAAACAAAATGGAAGTAAAACTTTTAGTTTTTTTATGATTATCAGTTGCAGCGGTCAATCTTACTGAGAGAAATCATCTGCCTAGGAGATGGGTGACAAAAGCAATGTAACAACATGAAACTTCTTAAAATATTCTTGACTGAAGCACAATAACTGTTGGCTCTAGATAAGGGTCCCAAGAACTGCAGCTACCTTTCGACTATAATAATAGTGTAGTTTTGTAGATTATTTTTAGTTATGTTGATATGTTTATTGTATAGATGCTGCAGAAATTTTAGTGAGTGCCAACCATGATTTATATGTGAATTGATATATTATTAACTATGATTTAAACTTTTCACTATTTTTCATGTGATATTCTATGGTTGGTCCCTAGATGGGTTGCTAACCATACTGTTATACATACAGTATGTTATATATACAGTATTATACTTTATTTAGCTCTAAAATACTTTTCACTGTTCGATTAAAAAAAAGTATTCAAATATTGTTTTTATCAACGCTGGATCTGGATCCATAAAAGGCTGTCATTGATCAGCCATTGGTTATTATTCTATTGTGGTCACCTTTGATCATTTTGACAAAATAATTAAGTCTTAATAGCACAGACTCAATATTATTATATTGAAAATTTATATTCAGAATTAATACAATTCCAAGTTGTTTGTGCAAAAATATATAAGGAACAGTGGATATTAATACTTACTAGCCAAAAATGGAGCTATGTATTGGGCACTTTACAAGAATATTTAAAAAGTGACAATGAAATATTAAATTGTGCAAGTAGCTCAAAAAATATGTCTTGATAACTAAAAAAAATTATATACTGTTAATTTTTCTAAAATACTGTTTATTTTTGGTTCTCCAATCCTAATATATAATATGCTTTATTTCTTATACAAAAAGTTGGCAACCCTAGGGGCCTAGTGGTATCCAACACCATGAATAATTATTAATTATATTTTATAAATATATTAGCAATATTTGATAAAAAAATACACACTTATAGTAATGCTTACTTCGTGATTTCTTATAGCAGGTGCCTATAAACTATGTACACTTATAGTTGAAGTAACATTATTATAATATAAGACTGTCTTAAAACTTGACTAATGAAATATTTTTATTATATAATTAGTAATTACGCTTAATAATTTAAATGATTGTCAATACTATATTTGTTTTTAGTATATATTTTTTAACAAAATTGCTTAAAGGAAAGGCTGAAGCCTAACTTTTTTTTGTTATAACTGTAACATTAAAAAATTACATGTAAGTCGTGAATTTGATGATTAAAATAGTATTTATAATAAATTTATGAAATCAAGTTTTATCATTGTGTCTAATACCACCAATCAGTACAATGTTAAACTGGGTTTAATGTCAATTTAGAGTTTGATATGATTTTAATCATTGGAAGTTTTTAGTTTAAAATCGTAAGCTCAAGTATACAATATTATATAATCCTTTTTATATTGTAGGTAAATTGTATATTATATTAAACTAAGGCCACCTTTACACTTGTAGTTGCTTCCGTAATATTTATGTAACGCTTACAGCTGTATTTACACATATTAGGTTATAAACTTACAGTAAATAATACGTAAATTTTATGAGTTTTGGCATGCGTAATAAATTATTACAAGCCACTTTATAAATACTTACAAAAATCTGAATCGAATATAATGCCTTCTCATTGTGAAGTTCAAGCAGCTGCTGTATATTATTTCAATTAATTTTAACAAATAAAAGACGAAAGTAAAGAAAATATTGGGTAAAACCTAGGCTATAAAAATATATTATAGGCTCTCATGGCCGGTTTATGGCCGGTTTACACGTGTCAAGTCGTTTAGTAGTTAACTAAATTTTAACTTAATTTTAAGTGATTACTTGCGTGTAAACAGACAATTTAGTAGTAAGTTGCAAGTTAAAATTAAGTTAACTACTTATCTACTAAATTAGAATGTTTCCTATTTTTTCGGTTTAGTTGGTGGGCGGGGCTTGTCACTTGACACGTTTGAACACTTGTTTAGTTACAAACGCATAAGTAGTTTAGTAAAACGCATAAGTAATGACGAGCTAAATTTAATTTTTTTTCGTTATTTTTTGTTAAGAAGCATATTTAAAAAAATAATGCTTATGGAACGTAAAAAGCATGAATCAAATTTAAGCACAGAATTTACGATTTCAAAAAATATATATATTTGTATGAACTAATATAAGTATATAATTTTATAAGTATAGTTGTTTCAAATTATAAATATTATAATTATTTTTATTGTTCATATTATTATAATTTTAACATTAATTTATATTATGATTATTTAATTATAGTAGTTAATATGTGCAATTCTTTAATTTAATTTCATCTATTATAAATATTTATTAGAAATTGTATTTAACATTTTTTATATATTATTGTTTTAAAGCCGGAAATGTAATTAATGCTGTGTATGCCTATAATTAATGCTTGTACTAGAATAAGTAATCTTATAATATAATAATTTAGAATGTAGGTACAATGTATTGTTGGCATATCTTGCAAATAAATAAATAAATAAATAAATCTTGAATGAAATAAAGAGCATTAATTTAATTCTTTAATTGAGCACAGATTAGTTCGCCAATGTCACGTAGAATAGAGAAGACAACTAAAGAGCTTAAACCACTAAACACGTTTGGACAGCTACTAAATAATCTTTGATGTAATAATGTGACCATCTGTCATAGGTAGGTATGCTCGGTTGTTACATTAGTGTAACTATCGGTCATATATATGCTCAGTAGTTGACACAAGTGTAACAAAACAGTGTAACCATGGATCCAAAGCCTATTTTTGTAGTCCCAAAAAATACAGTAAGTAATTAAACTTTCTACGTCAGGTGGGGCCAATTTTTTGTTTGTTTGGCCATTGTCAACAATTTTCGATAAGTTGTGAGACGATTCCGTAAGTAAACTCGAACATGTTTAGGCTTGTAATTTTCCAACTTACACAAGTAATAAGAAATTAAGATAAGCTACTTACAAAGAGTGTTTACATTTGTAAATTTATAAGTTAATTAAGTTAGTTACTTAAAACTTACAAGTGTAAAGGCAGCCTAATAAGTAGTAAATTTTAGTTTTACTGTGGGTCTCATCACGAACAAAGAAAAAATAGTTCAAATAACTGTCAACAGATGATGTTACATGTATGATTTGTTATTAAAGTTTTGTTAAATTAACAAAAGATAAAAAAAAATACATTTACCATACATTACATTGCATATAATTATTAAATAAAACTGTTTTACTATTTGCAAATCAACATCTTTTATTTTTTCAAGTAAACAAAAAT